GCGGGGAACAGATTTTCCCCTGCTCCTCCTCCTGCTCCCCCTCCCCTCGTCGTCGTCGTCGTCGTCGTCGTCGCTACGGAGAGTCGTTTCCCTTTATTGTTGGGCGGGTTGGATAATCTTGGGGGTTCTTTCTCCCAGCGAAGACGACAGAGGAAGTTTGATCACGTTCGCAGGATGATCGCATTATAGATCGGCACATTCTTCGCCGAAGGCGTTGCCCACAACCTATTGCTCGTAGTCGTAATCGTAGTCGTCGTCTTTGTTGTGCGGTGGTTGCCGCTGACAAGAACTTGGTTATGTTCTTCTATTGGCGGAACCACAGTGCGTCAATAAGGCCGCAGACAAAGATTTGATGTCCACTGTTCCTGAGGGGTTTTCTCAGGACCTATCAGGGATACCGGGAGAAAGGGTTGAAGGACAGGGTGGGCACGGAGCTGGGTGGCTGGCCCTGTTGGGACCTGGAGGCACGGTTGCCCCATTGTCACGGGCGCCTCATGAGTCCGCACGATGGCTTGGTCGTGCTTGTTCTGTTCTTTCCCTTCCCTCCCCTCACCAGTCATCCACACTAGTCTCGGCAGTTTGCTCAACTGCTCAGAACCATGTGGACTGTCTACATTGCATGGAAAAAGGGGGAGGCGGCATTCGAGCACGAGGTGCGAGCAATGCTCGTGTGCTCTGAGCTCTGTGACTGCACTTGCTTGACGGTCTGTGCAACGACACACAGGCCAGCATGCATTCACACAATCAAGCAAGCAAGCATGCCAGCGATCATGGACGCACTTACGTCATCACTCGCGAATTCAAGTCGCCCTTCTGCAAGCACGCACACGAAAACCATGTCAGCCAGCGTGGGCCCCAAACAGTAGGTTCTTGCAGTCTATGCGGTACAATCTAGGTGGTGCAATGTATGCGATGCAACCTATATAGTGCAATCTATGCGGTGCAATTTGGTTTTTACCTATGAGTTGACACATCCCATGCTTTTGCAAACACCCCACCCACCCACCCGCAACTTGGTTTGCAAAACCCAGACGGTGGCGATTGCGATGCATGCTTGGCGTTGGCTGGTGCATCTCTGCGGCCGCGTCAACCCCAGCACGCGCGCGCAGCGGCCAGGTAGTTTGGCGCCACCGACGCGGCCGCGGTGGCGCTGACCGCTGGTCTCATCCCAGCGGGCACTTCACTGCGAGTCGGCGCTTTGGGTGGGCGCAATCATGATAGTGGCGATGTTGTTGACGGTGTTCGCACCGACGAAAGCGGCCAGTGCGGGCGCCGATGCTGATCACGCCGACGGCGATGACGGCGTCCTCGCGTCGTTGATGGAAGGCTTTGGAACGAATTCGACATGCGCGCGCGGCCGACGCGCGAGTGTGGCCCGCAAGGTGTTATTTGACACGGATCGTGCCCCCCTCCCCAGCACGCGCGCAAGGGCGTGCGAATGATGTCGGCATGCGGCGCCAGAGGCCAGTGTTGCAGAATTCCGTGAAGATGAACAACTATGTTTTTTGAAGAATTCACAAGAGCGCGCAAGTTTTTTGGACAGTTGTTGCTGCGAAGCCATATGTTTTTGTATGTTGTTCGGACATTCGGTTTTGAAGTCGTTACGAAATCGAAGGTTTTGAAGTATGTTGGCACGCGCGCGCCACGACGCGCGCGCGCGCACGTCGTCCAATTTTTGCAGAATGGATTCTCGCGACGGCACGCGCGCAAGGGCGTTCGAATGATTTCGACATGCGCGCGCGAAGCCCGTTCGGTCGTATCTTCTGAAAATGTTGGAACATCTTATGTTTCCTGAAGAATTCGCCAACACGCGGGCGTACGCTGTGTTTTTTGTTTGAAAATCAGTGTTGCGAAACCAAATGTTTCTATCTTTATATGGACGCTCGAGTTTGGATTCGTTTCGAATCACAGGTTTTTGAAGGATTTCGGCATGCGCTCGCGATTGCGCGCGCGTGTGCACGTCGTCTACTCTTTTGCAAGGGACTCATGAAAACTGATATTTTGTGATAAACGAGTTAGATTTTTTCGCAGAGGCGGGGGGAGTCGATACCGGCTGGGCTGGGATTGTATGCTTCATATTTAGGATGGACGATAGGGCAGAAACGAATGTCAGTAGCAACGCAACAGGGTGTACCGAGAAACCCGGGGTGCGGGTGGTATCCTAATTCTCTGTTCGAATAAGGAGAACCTTGGTGGGGCAATTGATTTGTACCCATGAGTTGACACATCCCACGCTCTTGCAAACACCCCACCCACCGACCCGCAACTTGGTTTGCAAAACCCATACGGTGGCGGTTGCGATGCATGCTTGGCGTTGGCTGGTGCATCTTTGCGGTCGTGCCAACCCTAACGCGCGCAGCGGCCAGGTAGTTTGGCGCCGCCGACGCGGCCGCGGTGGCGCTGACCGGTGGGCAAGTCACTGCGTGTCGGCGACTTGGGCGGGCGCGGTATCATGGCAATGCCGGTTACTGTAGACGCGATGATGATAGTGGCGATGCTGTTGACGATGTTTGCACCAACGAATTCGCGGCCAGTGCGGGCGCTGACGCTGATCATGCCTACGACGATGACGGCGTCTTCGCGTCGGTGATGGAAGGTTTTGGCTTGAGCTCGACATGCGCGCGCGACCGACGCGCGAGAGTGGCCCGCACGGTGTTATTTGACGCGGATCGTGCCCCTCAGCACGCGCGCCAGGGCGTGCGAACGATGTCGGCATGTGGCACCAGAGGCCCGGTTGGCAGATTTCCAGGAACATATCGAGGAACCTGCGTTTTGTGGAAGAATTCGCAAGAACGCACGCATTTTTCTTTTTAAGACACATATACCAAGTGTTGTTAATAATGCAACCAGAAACAACATGTGTTTTTGTCCACGGTAGAAGGAAACCCTAGGGCCGAAGCTTGATTTTGCGCTACGCATGGCCGAATCAAAGCTTGACTTTGGCCGAAGCTCGATTGAATTTGGCCGAAGCTCGACATATACCAAGTGTTGTTAATAATGAAACCAGAAGAAACATTCCAACGATTTCGACATGCGTGCGCGCGAAGCCCGTTTGGCCAGGTTTTATGAAAACGTTGATCGGCCTATGGTCTCTTTAATGATTTGCCAGACCGCGCGCGCAAGTTTTTTTTGGAAGCTGTTGTGGCGACGCCATATTTTTAGGTGGTTTCGCGACACCCGGTTTTGACATCCTTGCGAAACCTAGCTGTTTTTTTGACGGATTTCGGCATGCGCGCGACGACGCGCGCGCGTGCACCTTGTTTGCAAAAAAAGGATTCTCGCGACAGCACGCGCGCTGGGGCGTTCGAGCGATTTCGACATGCGTGTGCGCGAAGCCTGCTTGGGAGGACTGTATGAACATGTTCATGGTTTGGTAGAAAATTCCCAAAAACGCGCGCACAAACTTTTTTAAACGACCCCGTGTTGCGAAACCAACTGTTGTTATTTGTTTATTTTTGACTCGGTTTTGACATCCTTACGAAACCGATGGCTTTCGTTTGAAAAGGATTTTGGCATGCGCGCGCGACGACGCGCGCGTGTGCACTTCGTCCCATTTTTTGCAAGGGGCGGGGCGTTTGGCAGCTTATGATTTTTTGCTGAACGAGTGCGCGCGCATTTTTTGTTTTGCAGAGGGCGACGGGGGGTGTCGATACCGGCTTGGCCGGGACGGTATGTGTCTAAATTCGTATATAGGGTGGACGATGGGACAGAATCGTATGTGAATTGCAATACGACAAAGGGGCACTGATAACCCCAGAGGGGGGAGTATAATCTATAAGGAAGGAGAATCTATGCGACGGCGACGGCGGCGACGGGTGGCACCGCCCGCGAGAACCGCCACTCGCCCCGAGCGGCCGCGACGGCGACGGACGGCGACGGCGAGCGACGGGCGGCACCGTCCGCAAAAACCGCCACTCACCCCGAGATGGTTAAGCCAAGTAAGAACCCCTAAGGGCAAGCACTTCTTGGGAAATGAAGCGAGAAAGCTAGCAAGTAATCAAGTACGCAATCAACACATCAACCAACATAGTAGCAATCAACGCAGTCAAGCGAAGGAGGAAGCATGGCAGGGATCCGTGCACGCAACTCGCGCAAGCAATCACTCGATGTCGCAACCAAATGGAAGTTACACAATCAAGCAAGCAGCCTGTAAATGAACCCATGGAGAAGCATACACGCAATCACGTAGTGGTGAACTTGGGTGAACCGTATGCCGACGCACAAGGAATTAGCAAGCAGACGCGCAAGCGTTCACAGCAGCAGCCAATCAATTCGTAGGCAAAGCGTTGCGGCGCGATCACTCAACCAAATAAGCCAACAAACACCCACATTGTGTGTGTGTGTGATCACATGCGAAGCAAGTCAGCAAGTCATCGGGCAACGCTCTTCGCAGTGCTAATCCTAAGTCAGCAAGTGCTGAAGCACACGAGTGCGTAGCACCTATGCGTGCTACAACCGGCAAACGCGCAACCATGTGAACAAACTTGCGCGGATGTTTGACGCGGAGCACACAGGTACGCACGACATATTCACAACAGTCGCCCGAAGCGAGCAATCGAGCGCATGAATGCGCATGCCGCAGGTGCTACACGGCAAGATCTGACACAAGCGAGCGTCGCATGCGATCCATACGCACCGCTCTTACTTGACATGTAGTCACGGCCCAGGGGCAACCTCATGGGACCAGTATTCTTGAGCGACACCCATGCGCAACATGGAAATAGGCCCATGTGCAACAGATTTTTCATGGTGGACTCTTGCGTAGCGCCCATGTGCAACATGGACATAGCTAAAGTAGGGCGACCGAGTTGAGGCTATACTTGCAGAGTAAGTGAGATCTCTCATTGGACAAGCCACTCTGCAGCAAGCTCGCGAGCACGCGATCATGCGCGTAGTCTTGTGCGGACGTGCTGTTGTAGCTTGCATGCACGCGCGTGTGTTCTGGAGGCCGCTCGTGATCTTTGCCCTGAGCCGAGCGTGTTTTGGGGGCTCTGCGCCACAGGCCGTTTCGGCTCACCAGTTTGCGTTTCCCGGCCGCCGCTCTGTTAAGTCTGGTGCTCCTTGTCGATATCTTCCGCTTGATTGCCTTCTTTCCAAGCTGAGGTGTCTCTTTGCTCATGACTTACTAGTTTCGCTGCTCCTGGCAGTTATTCTAAGCAGATGCACCAGCCATGCTCATCTGCAATTGCCATATCGTTGGTCTCGTGCTCCGTTACGTTCTGAGTCTGGGGCGTACGTAGCTCTCAGATCTTCGATCTTGTGCGATGTAATTTCCATGCCTTTGGTTTTTTTACTGCGTGGCAAGCGCAGGATATGGCCGGGCGGAAAGACAAAGGAGTGTCAATCAAGGAAGGCCTCGTGCTCTCGCGCAACGGGAGGGCAGAGCAAAAAGTGCGGCAGAGGTCGGAGGCGGCATTTGTTGATCGAGTGCGGATACATGTTTTTTTGTTATATTGGGCCTGGATGTATACAGTCTTCAACGATTTGAGTGGCAGGCCCACTGCTGTTTAAGGATGATGTCGTGAGTTCGTTTGCAAATCATGTAACGCTCCCGTGCCAAACCATCGTAACGTATTCGTACGCAGTGTCTCATGTATTGTCTAAGCTAAGGGGTGCAGTACATTCAACCCTCAGTGTGCTCTGCGTGTGCAAAAGGAGCCACAAGCTGTGAGTTTACCCAGGAACGATAAAGGAGGGATCCTAATCACAGAAGACGAGTTGAAGGCGGCCAGCTTTGTTCGCCTCTCTCCCCAACCATCTTGTATGAGTCATTCACGTTGTGTTCGCAACATGACTGGCAGGGGATTCGGAACGATATGGAACTTGAGCATGTAGTCGCGATCGGTATTTCCTTGGTGCGTAGACAGGCAGTGATGGCCTCCAGGTTGCCCAGCTGCAGGGTTGCGGGGAGCAAGGTGAGTGGTTTCCAATTCAGAGGGTCCCAGGGTATGGTGCGTTAAACTCAGAAGAAACAGGCGGAAGAGCAGGCTGTCTGGCCGGAAAGGAGAGTTCTGGTCTGCATTTGAGGCTGAGGTGCTTGCGTGAGAGGCAGGGCTCGATTGGACCATCATAATGTCAAGGTGATCGTGCGCGAGCCAAGGTAACAACAGGACAGTGCGGAGGGGAGGACGGAGATGAGGACGGGGCAGGCTATGTGCGCTTGCGCCATGTCTGACATCCGACCCCTCCCACCCATCCGCTCCACTGCGCTGAGTTCTTCTCTATCCGCCAGCAGGGCTGTCCCAGATGGCCCTGATCCCCACTGTGTGATGCGCAGCTGTAGAGGGAGACCCCGTGCCCTGGACGAGGAGGAAGAGGTGGCAGAAGAACCCAGGCCGAAGGCGCCGTGCGCGTTCCCGCGACGTGCTCTCCCCCCTGCCCCTGCAGGGGCAGGGGGGAGAGCATCGATGGGCTCAGGGGGGGAACGCATCGACCTCCGCCGGCCCGCGCTGATCGCAGACAGGGGGCCCCATGGCCGACCCCGCCCGATGTATCGCCTCTTCCAGGTCGATGCTTCACCCCCTGAGCCGGCCCCTCCCTCCTGTCGCCCCCCCTCCCCCCCCACTGCGGCGTGGTTCCCCCGAGTCCTGGACCTCTTCCCGGGGGCAGTTTTTACATCTCGAGTCGTTCGTCTGGTGGTCTCGGTGCCTGTCACGGCCCCCTCTGAGGCCCGAAGTATAGCCAAACAGATTCTCCTGTCATTGGGCTCTTCGTGTCGCGAGGTGCCCTGCCGCTAGAGCTCCCACGGCGAGGCCCGATCCGACCCCCGGCCGCCACGGCATGCGGCGCTCGCGCCGCCGCCATCGCGAAGGGCAGCGCGCTGCGCGAGCGCCCTCCGCTGAGTAACCTGCCGCTGGACTGCGGACTGCCGACGGCGGAGCCCGTTTGAACTCATCGGCGATGCACCTGCCATGCGGCGCGATCCTTCGACCCCATCTACTCGGACCCCATCTAGGAGGCCTCTAGTGTACGCCCTCCTGCCTTGGGCCCGGCGGGTGTAGGAGCCTGGGCCCCTGATGGGCTGGGCCCGTGCCGCCGCCGGTGCGGTTCGAAGGGCAGCGCGGGCGCGGGCGTCCGATGTCGAATGCCCCCGGCCCCCCCCCTGGCGGCGCCTCCGTCGCCGCCCCTGGCGCGCTCCGCGCGCCAGGGAGGGGGGTCCAGCTCCAATCCAATAAGTCCGCGCGGACCTCCGAAAGTTTATGTTTCTACAGCGTTTTCGTCTTTCCTGCAGGGCCCGAGCTCGATCCCCAAGTCCAAGCGGTCCGATCCCGCTCGGATTCCTCGCTGGTTCAGGCGCGATCCGATCCGTTGCCGATCCGATTCGAGTTGGCGATTCGCTTCGGCTCAGGCCTGCCCGAGCCCGCGCCGCCGCGGCGGGAGCCTGCCGCAGTTGCCTCTGCCTTGGGTCCCCAGGCTTCTTTCGAGAATCGGGCAGCCACATAAATAGACGCTTTCGAAGGTCCGTTCGGATTTCCTGGGTCGGCCTGGACCCCCCCCTCCCCACAACCCTAGCGGCGCCTCCGGCGCCGCCCCTGGCGCGCTCGGCCAGCGCCGACCCAGGAACACAGCGCGGACTTCCGAACTGTGATGTTTCTGCTGTTGCCGGTCTCCGAGTCCTGAGGGCCCAGACCTCGCTGGGGTCCCGAACGTCCGCGCAGGGGAATCTGGCCCGCCGCGGGGACCCTGCACGCCCCGGAGGTCGCGTGGGATTTCTTCGACACGGGGGGGAAGTCGAAGCTGACCACCAACGACATCAAGAAACGCCTGCAGACGTTCTACAAGGACCGCCTTCCCCGGGCGCGCCGGGCCTCCGCCTCGTGCACCGCCAGAGCACGTCATCTTTCTGCGCCATTGCTCTGGCCAGGTCGCCCTAGGGCGCGAGACTACGCGAACACGCCCGGCTCGAAAAAGTCGAGACTCCAGGATCTCAGGGATGGCTCGGGGGCGCGCAGAGGTTCACATCCGCTGGCTGGGAACATCCGCCCGCCCCAGCTGTGCCTCCCCGCTCCGGGCGCGGCGGCGCGGCCGCCGCGCTTCCCCCTCCCCCCCTCTCTGTCGCCCTCGTCGTTGTCGTCGTTCGCTTCCTCACCTTGCCGCCAGGCTCGGAGGAGGAGGGAGGAGGAGGGAGGAGGGAGGAAGGAGGGGAGGAGGGAGGAGGGAGGAGGAGGAGGAGGGAGGAGGAGGGAGGAGGGAGGAGGGAGGAGGGAGGAGGGAGGAGGGAGGAGGGAGGAGGGAGGAGGAGGAGGGAGGAGGGAGGAGGGAGGGAGGGAGGGGGAGGGAGGGAGGGAGGGGAGGGGGAGGAGGAGGAGGAGGAGGAGGAGGAGGAGGTCCTTCGCGCTGAGCACCTGCCCGCCCCCGAGGGCGGAGCGGCGGCCGCGCCCGCCGCTGCCCGATGGGCTGCCAGAGGGCGCGCCTCTCTGGGGGCCCTCGGAGCCGAGCTGGCCGGGCGAGTCCACGGCCCGGGTCGGCCGAGGGGGGGGTGTCATCGGCGTCACCCCAGCATACTTATACTAGATGTGCGTCGCCCCCCCCCCCCCCCAAGGGGCGACGCGCGCACCGAGAAATCTTCTAGCGTATGCGTCGTGGCGGGCGCTTCCTGGCCACACCGCTGGGGAAACGATCTACTACAAGATGGGTATACCATATGTTCGGGTCGGACACGCGCCTCCAAGGAATACATATAGTACTAGTATGTCCCTGTGTGTCCCATGTCAAGCAGTGGCGAAGCGTCCTGGCGTGCATATAGGCTAGGCCTAGCAAACAGTGTTCTAAAAACTTCTTATGTGGTTTCCACGAAATGTTTTCTTAGAGCATTTCTGGCTGGATCTGTCTTGTTTTAACACATCTGGTGTACGTTCTGAGAACATTGTTTTGGTTCTTAGAACACTCCTGGATTCTAAGAAGCTTTTGGGGAGGCCTATAGGAATGCCAGGGCGGTCGGTCCCTGCTCGAGGGTGGTGGTGATGCGGGGGGATCTGAACGGGTATGGAAAGATAGAGGCCCTCAGACCGACAGCATTCCCGGATCGTTTTGAACGGGACTCGTTGTCGGCGTCACCACCGGCGTTGTCCATTGGAGATAGCAGGCCGCTTGCCCAACAGCGGCCGCTGTTGGTTCTGGGCAGCATTTGTCGTTGGGCGTTGTTCAGTTTTTTCCCGAAACCATTTTCGGGCGTTCAAAATCATGGCGGGGGACCATGGTCTCTCCCAGATCTTATGGCCACTTCTTCCTTATTTTGACCGTGACTCGGACCGCGACGTGCATCTGACTTCTGAGGGATTGAAGGCAGAGATCCTCGAAGAGATCATCATCAAGCAGACGAACGGCATCTTGAGCGAGCTCAAGGTGATGGACAATATCGACCTTGCGTTCACCTACAGCGACCCCGGCAATCTGGGCATCGTCCAGTTCAAGACCCACGCTGGAAAAATAGGCTTCCTCAAATAATGGCCCGGCACCAAGGCCCAGCCATGGTGCAGACCCAATCGAGAAGAGGCTCAACGACAAAATCCTCGGACAGGTCAAACACAACCTCATGTAAGAAGGATGTGTACAATAATCGATTCGTGTATTTTGGGGCAGGCGAGGTGAAGTACAAAGGGAATCTTCTTGCGAAGGTCGACGAGGACGGCACGCTGAGCACCTACGGCGGGGACGGGGACAGCGTCAAAGTCGACGTGGAGATTTGCATGGTGAAACGGAAGGCCGGCCCGGACCTCCAATGACAGAGGCTTCACGCATGCCCGGAAGCACAGCAGTTTTATCTTGGAGTCAGACAACGCTCCAAAGGAGCTTCAGGACATCATCATCATTCGCTCCAACCTTCCCCAATCGACCTCCCCTACTCCTACCCGCTGCAGGCAACCAGCCGCATCTGGATACCTACATGCACGACTCCCGACTCCATCGTCGACCAGAAAGGTGGTCCTAATACCAACCACGGAGCGGGGGAAACAAATCCGATTGTCTCTACCCCAATCTCAGTCCTCCATGTTTCATCCTTGGCCCCAACATTGTCAAACAGCGAGCGGGGGAATTTCGATGATAGTTTCGACGGTTCTTTCAAAACACCCAGGCGTCCCTCGCATAATGCATGCAGACAGGTGCCTGCTACAGGTGATCAGCGTGCAATCCAACGTCGAGCAACCCGAAGCTTTGGCGACAATGCGCTCCTTGCCGGATCAACGACCACAGCCGCATCGACATCCAGTTCAACACAACACTGGAGGAAGAAGAGGACGCTACTCCGCCATTTAGGGGGACGTGCCAGCTTGCTTCCAAGCACTACGTTCCGACTAGCAGCACTCGAAGCCAGACGCTCAACAACCGACAGCGACAGTTGCATCACAAACACCCCCTGGCAAAGCAGACGTCCACCTACAATCCAGCGTCAAAGACGACACCGTGACGATGATTCGCAAAAGCGCCCGAAGCCTCACCGACGACGTGGCGATCGACCTGCTCATCCATCAGCTTTCAGATATTCCTGGGACGTGGTGGCACTCAACGAAACAAGGCGGACAATAGAACGAGAGTTCTGGGTTACTCAGCGTGGTCATCACATATTTGCAGCTGCTGGGCATGACTCGTCAACTCGCGGTGTTGCGTTTATGATGCACGAGCCGCGCGCGACATGCATCCGGATATTCAAAACCATCAACGAACGGATAGCCTACATCGATATCGGTTTCCTCAACTCCCATTCCGGCTTGCTACAGCGTGCTGCCCTCATGGAGGCTACAGAGACCACCGCATACAGGCCATATACGACGCACGTTCTGAGATCCACACAGGAGCGCAACGACACAAGCGAGTAACAGTGCTGACGGGCGACTTCAACGCACAGGGTGGCAGGCGGCTCGGCGACAATTTCGACGAGAGCGATGTGGACACACATGTTTTCGGTACCCACGGACTGAACGGTGGCAATCAACGCGGAATGTGGCTAAGATCGTGGGCTTGCGCACGAAACTTTAGCATAGCAAATGCTAGGCTTTACAAACACAGCAAAAACGTACACACGTGCACACCTACAGGTTGCAACTGGGCAGAATCACAGATCGACTGCATCTTGGTGGACCAACGGGCCCGACAATTGGTGCTCGATTCATTCGCTACGACGTGCCCCGACCTCAACCCCGATCATCAAGCCGCGCACCTCCGTCGCTGTCGTTGTCGGCGTCCTGACAGGACGCCGACAGCGACAGCGACGACGACGACGCAAGCGTCCACATCAGCAACCACCGCGACCCAACGACTCCGACTTCGACGACAGTGGAAACAGCACCTCGCGAGGAACAGCCCACCAAATGACTTGCAAGACGCCTGCACGCGCACCCAGGTGGGTGTGACAGTTCGTCAATCCCCCCAGGAACCCCCTATTGGAGGTTTTTATTGCAGGTTATTTGCCGCGGTTTTCTGAGGGGGAAGCCCCCGAGCAACAACCCAACTCGGGGTTGTTTCGGATTTTTTTCTGTTGTTTTCCCGGGGGGGAAACACCCGAATCGGGGAGGGAACCTCAGAAACACCTCCCAACTCCGATGGTTTTTCCGATTGTTTTTTTTTTTCAGGCGTTTTCCAAGGAGGGGGAACCATCGAAAAACTTCCCAATCCCCCCCAACTCGAGTTTTTTTTTTTTTTTTTTTTTTTTTTTTTTTGTTGTTTTTTTTCCTCTCGTTTTCTTTATGGAGGGGGGAAACCTCAGAAAAACCTCCCAACTTGAATTTTTTTGGTTGTTTTTCTGGTTTCCTGGGGGAAGCCTTCGAAAAACCTCCGAACTCGGGTTTTTATCAGGCGTTTTCCAGTGGTTCTGGAGCCCACACTTAAAAACAAGACTATGTCAGAAACCTCTCCCAGGAAACCTTCGAAACAACCCCCACCTCGGGTATTTTCGGTGTTGTCCGTTTTTTTTTGGGGGGGGGGGGGGGTCCTGGGGGGACCCCCCCGACCCCCCCTTAACTCGGGTTTTTTCTAAACAGTTTTTCGGGAGTTCTGGGGCCACGCAGTTTAAAAGCAATGCTATTTCAGACCCCCCCCGAGGAACCTCCGACAAAAAAACCAAACTCGGTTTTTTGTTCGCATGTTTTTTTGTGGTTTTCCCGGGGGAACCTTCGAAAAACATTTAGCTGAGAGGTTTTACACTTGTTTTTCTGTTTTTTTTTTTTTTCCGGGGGGGGGCCCAGAAAACTCCCAACCTGGAATTTTTGTCTCTGAAGATTTTCTGCGGTTTTTGGGCCTCGCAATTAAAAACGCTGTTAAAACATAATTTCTTGGAAATCTCTCAACTCGTTTTTTTTCCCCACCCGGGTTTTTCCCGGGGGGGGGGGGGACCCGTGAGAACAAATATGTTTGTTTGTTTTCTCTCCGGGGTTTTGGGGCCCCACAATTAACGTAAAGCTATTTCAGACCGCCCCCAGGAACCCCCCGAGTGACTTTCCAATTAGGTTTTTTTTCTAGGTTTGTTTTCGCGGGTTCGGGGGCCCCGCAATTCAAAACAAGGGTATTTCTGGACCCCCACCGGAAACCGCAGAAACAAACATAAAAACACCTCCCAGTTTATGATTATCATTCTTATTATTTTTATGATTATTATATATGAATATATGTATATCTTTATATTTACATGCATATGTTTATACATGTGCTATAATTTATTCATATATGTATATCATCTCTCTGTAGTTTTCTATGTTCTTTTCTGCGTTTGTTGCTGTTTTCAGAGTTCGTGTTGTTTTGAACTGTCGGGTTCCGCAAGTCCCACCCGAACGCCCCTAGCTCCCCCCACCCCGAGTATCCGGGGGGAAAAACTGAATAACCAAAAAACTCGGGGGCCAGAAACTCTTGAAGAATCCTCCAACTCCATGGTTTTGTGGAGGTTCTGGAGCCCTACACTCTAAACAAGATTATTCTGCGCCCCCTGGGAAAACCCAACTTAAAAACAATATCAATTATAATAACCTCGCAGAAACATCCGAAAGAAAACCCAAACTCGATTGTTTTTCTTGTACTTTTTCGGAGGTTCTCTGGCCAGTCCAGGCTCCATGATCCTCAGAGGGGGGAAAACCATGGACCAAAAATTCAACTCGGAGGGTTTTCGATTGGTTTTCGGGGGTTGACCCGTCAGCCCAGGCTCCCGGATTTTCCGGAGCGGGGGGCACCGCCCAGCAAAACTTTAGATTTCTATGTTTTTTATGTATACTCGAGGGTTCGGGCCCCACAATGAAAAAACAATATTATTTTTGAAAACCTCGTCGGATAACTCTCGAGAAACTCCCGACCTCGGTGGTTTTTCGATGGTTTTTCGGGGCTTCTTTGGCCAGCCCAGTCTCCAGGATTTTCCAGGGGGGGAACCTCCCAAAAAATCCTAGCTGAGGGGGGGTTTTCGGTTGTTTTTCGGGGAGTCTTCGGCCAGCCCTCGCTCTCAGAGTCTCTGGGGGGACCCCCCGAGAAACGCCCCAACTCGGGTTTTGTTCGGTGGTTTGTCTTGGGTTCTCGGGCGCCAGAATTAAAAACAATACTATTCCAAACCTCCCGAGAGTTTCAGAGTTGGGGAGAAGGAGGAGGAGGGGCAAGGGAAAAGAGAGGGGCAGGCGAGGAAGGAGGAGGAGGAGGAGGAGGAGGAGGCGAGCAGAATGGCCAATGGCCTCATGGATGCCTTTCGGAGTCTCTTCGGATATCTCTGAAAAGTGTTAGTGGGTTTTCTTGGAGCATCTTGGCGGCCTCTTGGCGGTTCTGGGAGCCTCTCAGAGCGTGTTGGGTGCTGCGGGGGGGCCTCTGGGGGCGTCTTGGAGGTGTCTTGGGAGTCACTTCGGGGCCCCTTGGAAGCCTCTTTGGGCCTCTTGGGTGCCTTTTGGTGGCGGGCATCGGGGGCCATCTTGGGGCCAGCCTGCAGGTGATCGATCAAAACAAAATGCGAGTATGTTGTTGACGTTTCGCGCATCCCCATTAGCGTTTGACCCTTGCGACGGCGCGCGGCCGTACCGCTTGCGCTCGCGAGCGAAAAAGTATCGCCACTAGCAGTACCGGCGCGAGTGCTTGCACTTCCCTGGCCCTTGTCCCCAGACACCGCCTTGCCTGGCCGTGTCTGGCTCCCCCTTCGCCGCTGGCGCCGGGCTCCGTTCCCCTCAGCCCCCGGTGGAGGCGCCCGTCCCCTGGCCTCTGGCTCTCTCTGTTCCATGGAGCCGAGTGAGCCCTGGCGTTCAGGTGTCGCGCTTTCTGACCAGTTCCAGCACGAGTGCTTGCACTTCCCTGGCTTCTGGCTGTCAGCTAGCCACATGGGGTACTGGCCCGCCGGTTCAGTCAGGAGTGCTTCAGCCTTCTTGGCGTGTCACCTGTCGGTCTGCTGCCATGTCCTCCGCCGCCCGCCCATCGTGTGTCCGCGTGTAACACAACACCCAGTATTCAACAGCGTCCGTCTCGTATACAACATCCATTACTAGACAGCTCCCGTCTCCAACACAACGCGCAGTGCTCAACAGCATCCCGCCGCAGTGGAGACTCTTGAGGAGTTTTGTTCAAACTCCGATCCGCCAGCCGCCCGCCCGATCCCCCACCGCCCGTTCGCCGTGCGTCCGCGTTCAACATAGCGTCCAGTACTCAACAGCGTCCGATTCCAACACAACACCCAGTACTCAACAGCCCCCGATTCCAACGCGACACCCGGTACTCAACAGCACCCCGCTGCAAGAGAGACTCCTTGGGAGTTTTGTTCAGAGCCCCATCCGCCCGCTTTCCGGCCGCCCGCCCGCCTGCTTCCCCGCCGCCCGCCCGCCGTGCTTCCGCGTTCACGCAGTATTCAGCAACGTCCGTCTCCAACACACCACCCAGTGCTCAACAGCTCCCGTCTCCAACACAACGCCCAGTATTCAACAGCATCCCGCTGCAAGAGAGAACACCTCAGGAGCTTATTCAGATCCCGATCCGCCCGCCCGCCGCCCACCCCCCGCCGCTCGCCAGCCGTGCTTCCGCGTTCAACATAGCATCCAGTACTCAACCAGGTCGGGTTCCAACACAACGCCCACTACTCAAGAGCATCCTGCTGCAATAACAAAATCCCGATCTGCCCGCCCGCCGCCCGCCCGACCGCCGCCCGTCCGCCTCCCGCCCCCCGCCGCCCGACTCAGAAATAGGTTCGACAACGACGACGGCGACGGCGACGGCGACGGCGACGGCGACGGCGACGGCGACGGCGACGGCGACGGCGACAACGACGGCGACGTCGGCGACGGCGACGGCGACGGCGACGGCGGGCAGCGACGGCGACGGCGACGGCGACGGCGACGGCGACGGCGGTGACGGTGATGGCGACGTCGACGGCGACGGCGACGGCGAAGGCGACGGCGACGGCGGCGACGGCGACGACCACGGCGTTTGGCGACGGCGACGGCGACCGCGACGGCGACGGCGACGGCGGCGACGGCAACGGCGACGACGACG